CTTCAACTATTTAAAACTTTGTAAGGCATTGTTCTAATGGTCAATATTCATTTTTATTTGGTTTTACTCACAAATTTTATGTTCTCTATTGTTCTTCATTCCATCTGAAATTCTTTTTTTTTTTTTCTTTTTTGAGACAGGGTCTCACTATGCAGTTCAGGCTGGACTTGAGCTCACTTTGTAGCCCAGGTTGGTCTCGAACTTGCAATGATCCTCCCACCTCAGCCTCACAAGTGCTGGGATTACAGCTGTGAGCCACCACACCTGGCCCATTTGAAATTCTTTAGTGTGTGAATCTGCTAGGGAGAAACTCCCCATTTTGTCTGAAAGTCTTTATTTCATCTTTAATTTTAAAGGATGTTTTCACAGATATTGAAAACATTAATGATGTACATTTTGCTTCCTGTCATTAGACTTCTAAGGAATGTTATCTATTTCTATTGCTATTTTCTTTTTGTTTAAAAATTTTTTACTTTAAAAAGGGAAAAATCAGAAAAGAAAAAAAGCAAAAAACATAAAACAGCAAACTCAAAACAATACTGTTTTCAAAACAGAATGAAATTTAACAATGGTTGTTATATTGCATATTATTTTTCTTTCAAAGAAAGAAAATAGAAACACAGAAAAAAAGGGTAGAACAATACCAAATTCAAAAAAATTATCATCAGAGAATCGCTATTGTCATCCTAAAAAAGTTGCCAAAGTCATAAAATCAAAGCATAAATAGTGGCTAGACACAAACATTGACAGTGCAAATCTTTCTGTTCAATGTTCCAACAGAGATTCAGTAATATGGTTATCTGTCTTACACACTATACATTCCGTTATTTATTGCTATCTTCAAATAACCAAATTTTCTTATTTAAATCTTCTAATGTGTTTAATTTCAACGTTTATTATGAATGCCCATCTCATCTTTACTCTTGGCTCATTCTGTCCTTGTGTGATTATCATTCATTCTTAATAATAAAGCTACTTATGACCATACATTTCTTGATTATAGCAGTGTATCCTATAGATCTTGAAATGCAGCATGTACTTTTTAAATTGACTTTTGGATATTTTGTTTTGTTCTAAACAGGTTTAATGGTCTTCTGTCTAATATACTATTGTTAGGATGTACTGGGTCATAATCAGAAAATGCAACACAAAAAATCTTTTTCATTAAGTAACGGGGAAATGTTTTATTGTTTGTAAATTTCCAGTGGTCACATGAAAAGGGCGCATACTTTTTGTTTGTGTGGTACTGAGAAACAAACTTAGGACACTGTATTACTGAGTTATACCTTAGCCCTTCTAAGGTTTTGATTTGAGGCAGGGTCTTGGTTAAGTTGCCCAGGAAGGAACTGGACTGATCATGCTGCCTCAGTTTCCCAGTGTGGAGATTAGAAGCCAGTGGCACTGCGCCTGGCTTATCCATTTTTAATGCGATATGAGTATTTGGCTAAAATTTAAGCCGCTTGATTATTACTAATTATTTATCCTTGTTTTAAAGATATCTTACATGTTAAAATCTGAAAGAGACTAAACCTAATTGTTTGCATGATAAGTAGAATTCTTTGCTTTTTTTTTTTTAAAAAACTTTTTATCGGTACTAGGGATCGAACTCACGACTGCCTGCTTGCAAGGCAGGTGCTTATGCCGCTGAGCTAAATCCCCAGCCCCAATAAGTAGAATTCTTGTATGGCTAGGTGATTTTGCTTTTTTTACTTATTTGGTTCATAGACATTTATTAAGACTATTGTTGGCAGGTCAGTGGACAAGCCTGAAATCCTAGCTACCAGGGAAGCTGAAGCAGGATTTTGAATTAGAGGTCTTAATACAATGAGGCTGTTTCAAAATAAGAAAGGGCAGGGGCTACAGTTCAATGATAGAATACTTGCCTGGCTTGTGTGAGGCCCAAGGTTTAACCCCCAGCATCACTAATAAAAAAAATGTTGTGGAGTATGCCTCATCTTTACATAATGTTCTTCTCTGTCACACTTAGTACTCTGGGTTTATAGTAATGCCTACCTGTGGTCCCAGCCTATATGGGAGGCTGAGGCTGGAAGATTGCAATTATGAGGGTAGTCTGAGTAAAATCCTGTTTCAATTAAAAAAAAAATATGGCAGTGCTTAGAACATAAACTGACACAAACAATATATACAGCAAACTCCATTTCAGGCAATAAAAGAGTCAAGTGTAATTACTGACATATGGTACCCACTCTAGACTGACTGGTCCTGGGGACTGAGCCCAAGGCCTTCGTCCTAAAGCTACAACCTCAGCGGCTTAAGCTTCGATTTTCTGAGACAGGGTCTTGCTGAGTCGCTACATTGCTTAGGCTGGGCCCCAACTTTCGATCTTCCTCAGCTTCCCAGATCTAGACTATTTTTTACAAACTTTGAAAACTAGTATATGTGTGTGATTCCATGACCACTCCTGGCAGTTTGAGTGTCGGATACACACACATTCTGCAACTGGATGATTTTCACTCCCCCACTCTCCCTTCCCTCCTCCAGACCCCTCTTCATCTAGAGTCTACCTCCCTGTTACTTATCCTGGCTTTTTAGGTCTCTCAGATGAGAGAAACCTTATTTAAGCTTTTATGGCTGATGTACTCCGCATAGTATTATGGTCCCATGACCCACCCATTTTCCTGCAAATGACTCAAATTTATCATTCTTTACCACATGGCAGCACTCTATTGTGTGTATATTCGCCTGCGGGGTGATACAGGCTGCTTCTATGATCTGACTACTGAGAGCTGTGCTGCTAGGAATGGGCACGCACGCATCGATGCAGGATGGCGAACTTAGTCCTTTTGGAAATGTGTAAATAAGAACTCTAAATAATCTTTTTTAGTTTACTTTTTATTTTTCCCCTTAAATAATTTTTAAAAAGCGAACAGATTATACAATCAAGTCAATACTTTGTTTGCAAAATAGCTATTACAATTACCTAGGTAGAAAATACATCATAATAAATACCAGCACCGTTTTTATGACATTGTTTTCAGCACCAGCTTTTGAATCACACAAGAATATTGATTTTATTTATAATGAAATTACTTTTAATTACAAACAACATAGTTTGGCCCAATAACTTTTATTATGGCTCTTATCACTGAGTCACTTTCTGAAATCAAATCTTTCTTTTGGTACCAGGGATTGAACTCGTGACCTCATGTTTACCAGGCAAGTGCTTATGTCACTGAGCTAAATCCTCGGGCCCTAAAGTCAAATCTTAAAGACTAAAGATTTGCTACAATGAGGATATATAGAAAGTGTGATTAGGGTACTAACAGAAATCTCAAGATAGAATTTGGAACAATGGTCGTATTTACAAAGGTGCCTACTTGGAAAGTAATACTTAAAGAGTATCAGGTTAAGAGAGCAAAAACTCATCACTTCATTATCTACCTCTCTTCAGTCAAAACTGGGATTCCTGCTGCATTTGTGTGCATTGCTGCTATATCACACGAGTTATATTGGAATTTACCTTCCCTTCACAGTAGCATGTCACAGGTTTTGAAACCCTAGATTAGGATTTCAAGGATTATAAGGGACAATGATTGAGAATCCAAGGCCAGTAACCATGGATTTGATATATATCAATAGAGGGTAAAGAAGAAACATATTAACCTGGGGGCAGCCAAAAACAACTGCGCGGAAATACAGAATGAAGGGACCCAATGCCTAAGATGGCTGTAGTTTGGGAGAAAGAGCACAAAAAATGGAGATGAAAGACCTAGCTTTGAGCTTCAGCAAATTATAGAATCTTACATCCTTCTAAATGTTCAGAACCCCAATATTAAAACTGCATTCTCATTTTAAGTTTTTCACAGGATTGTTGGGAGAACAAATAAAAAACGTGCTTGTTTGCTTCGGAAGCTGTGAAACCCTATGAAACCTGAGGCATTACAGTAATTGCCAAAATGACCATCAAAGTAGAGGGATGCAGGAGAGAATGGTGGTATTAAAGGAAATACAATATAAAGTTGTCAGAAGTAAAATCCCTACTACACAGAAAGGTGATTAAAATAATATTGAAAATGCAAACTTTTTTGTTTTTCATTTAGTAGCTGAGATTATTTTCTCTATGACGTTCCCATTACATTATTCAAAAAGTCCTCGAGACAACAACTTAAGGTAGGTATTCTTTCTACCTTAAAGATGAGAAATAAAAGCTAAGTTAGGGTAAGAAACTTGCTGAAAGCCACAGATAGTAATGTAGGTTTCCCTCTAGTTACTCTGCAATTCCAAATCCATTGTACTTTTTCAGGTCACAATACACACTTAAATCTTAAAGGATAACTATGCACTGTATTGAAAAATAAATTACTTGCTACATATTTCACAGATATTTCTGAAAAGGCCAATCATGCAGGCAGCACTGATTATTACAAGCAGAGGAAATCTTACCAAGGACCTGCAAAGATCCGGTAAGGAGGAAACCCAAGAAACAGGGTACTGGAATCTGAGAGAAAACAGAGCTGAAAAAACAGTTAACACTGCTGAGTATTACACAGGAGACAGAAAGTAGCTGAAAAGGATGTGAAGGATTTGCCGCCTGGGCGAGTGGTGGCTTTGGCAAAAATACTTCCAACATAATAATTAAAAAAAAAAATCAAGATTATTCTTGAGTAAAGGATGAGTGGAAGAGTAAGATAGCGGTATGAATGGATGATTCAATGGTAAATTTCCTTCATTAAAAAATTAAACACAGAAGCAAAGCAGGATACTCTTGCAAAACCTGAAACATTACACATAAAGTCCCTTTTGATCACTACTCTCAGTTCCCATCCCAGTGGCACTTTAATGTTTATCTTTCTAATGTAGACAGATGTTTATCCTATCTAATGTATACTGATCCTTGCAGGAAATGCCTTTCAAATTTTTCTATAAATGGTGTCATTTCCCCACAAGTGTCCGCGACTTGCCCTTTTTATTTGATAGCTCTTAAAAGAACGGTGGTACATACAGACCCACTAATCTATTAAGATTTGGGTTACTATCGATTTTACTATTATCGACAATTCCTCAACTGAACACTGTTATGCTTGCTATCTTGAATACTAATGTTTTTCTGGAGGCTGGGAGTGTAAGGACTCAGCGACAGAACTGATGCTTAGCAGGTACAAGGCACTGGGCTCAAGCCCTAACCCTCATTCCTATTTCTCAAAAGAAGTCTGTTTTTTTTTTTTTTTCCCTTGCCCACCATGGTAGATACAAGTGGCATCCCTGGGCCATATGGTGTGTATGTTTAAAAATTTTAAACATATTCCCAAACTGGTCTCCCAAGTAGTTTGATCTTTTAAGTACTATTCCAGTTTCTTAGATTTTGTTTTCATTACAAAATTTCACACTTGAAATGGATCTTTAACAATTACTTGAATGTGAACCTTTACATATTTACCTTATAATCAGAAGAGAGAAGATACCAGATATAGAAGAGCTGTGAAAATGTCAGCGGGTACAGCATGAGCAAAGGGTTAGGCCTACATCTGTTTCTTTTTACAGATAAATGTACAAATTATAAGAAGGGTGGGGATACGCCAATGAAGAATGTAGGTAATTTTTAAAACAGGTTATTTGGGGAAAATAAGCAATAAATGACTATGACAGTCCTTCCTAAATTGTATTTTAGGAACACGAATTTCACAAAATAATTAGAGGAAATAAAGTATTCCATGGTCAAAAAGTTTTGTACGTATTTTTTGAGAAACACTAGACTAGTGCGAATGTGGAGAAATGCTCAACCAGTGTCCAAATAATTTAAAAACAAAAAATACAGAGTATAATTTAATAAATAATACATACCCACTTTTCAGAATTAAGTAGCTAAGATTCAATGCTAACAAGTTTTAAGGTTTAGGATATGAGAAACATGTTCATAAAGCGAAATTGGGGAATAGAAAAAAACACTGTCATCCTGTCATCTCATAAAATTAATGTTTGGGGTAGTGAAGCTTTATTTCTATTTAGGGTTGTGTAATAGATTCTTGCTACATAGTTCAGGCAGACCTAGAACTCACTAGTAGCTCAGGCTGGCCTCAAACTCACAGCAATTCTCCTGCCTCACCCTCCCAAGCGCTGGGATTACAGGTGTGCACCATTGTATCTGACTAATTTTTTTTTTTTGCTTAACATTATTACAGTAATGTAGCACACACAACTCTAGATCATGTTACATATTTACAACATGTCATAAACACTGTTGTAGAATTTTAGATTATTTGCAATTTTTTGGATTTCATAAATAATACTGCACTGAGTATTTGAATATAAAAATTTTTTATAGGTTTTCCTAGAACTGATTTGCAAAGTAGAATAGTTAACAGTGCTAATGCAATGCCTACTTTAAACGTTTTAAAAAGTATTCTGCCAACTGGTTTTCTGGCACTAGGGAAATGGAACATTAGTGATGTATCAGAATATGCTTTTTCTCTTAGGTTAATTCCGATTCAAAAAACATTTATATTCATATTGTTTAGTCTTAGTACTATGTATTTTTCCAGCTGATAGAGAGCTATCAATACTAATCTGTCATTGCTATATCTGACTCCACTGGTTTTACAATATATCACAGTTGGCTAAGAATGCTAGGGGCTGGAGATTTAGCTCGGTGGCATAAGTGCCTGCCTGGCAAGTGTGTGGTCCTGAGTTCAATCCCCAGTACTGATTTAAAAGGAAAAAAAAAAAGATGCTATGTACGGTATTTTCATAAGCAGTAGATAAAATCTTTACATAAAAGCTAAAGACAGAGCCCAAAGGAGGGGTTTAAAGATTTTCATGTCAATTTATTAATACTTTGGGTATTGTTCAAGGAATCCAGAGCTAGTTTTGTCAACATTTTGATTAATCAGAGTACTAATGATACCTAATTCTAGTATCTTTGTGTTCTTTTCTCTAACCTGTTCACAAGAATTTAACCTGAGTTTTTTTTTTTTTTTTTTTTTTTTTGTCTTTTTCGTTTTTATCGGTACCAGGGATCAAACTCATGACTGCACACTTGCAAGGAAGGCACTTATGCTGCTGAGCTAAATCCCCAGCCCCAAACTGAGACCTTATTAAATATGGTACTGAGAGATGATTTATTTTCAGCACTTTTCTTAGAGGCCTCCAGTCAACAGCTGCAGCCTCAAACATTTTGTGTATCACAGTTTAGCACAGAACTTACTTGGAACAGCACAGCAGACTCTCACTGAAGGGTTGGCATGCTCAATCTACCTTCCTATGAGTTTGTGGAACTGCTGTCTCACTATAAACACTACTTTCCTTATCAGGAGATGCCAGAAGACATGCAAGATCATTTAATAATAGCACAACAGATAAGACAAAGAGTACAGGTTTTGTCATCGGGAACTCCAAGTTTAAGTCCTGGCTTTGCATTTTACAAAACAGTATTTTTGTGCTATGCCACGCCTTACTTTGTTCCAAGTATAAAATATGAGGACTTTTTTTTTTTTTTGACTTAATAGGGTTCTTATGAGGGTCAAAATGTGTTTTTCTAAATGGAAATCAGAATGTCCGTTACTTGACTTTTTCAATCCCTGTAAATAACATCTGATTGTCCTTAAGCAAAACTCCAGTCCGCCAACTCCGCCTTATAAGGACTTCTATGGACTTTGCTCAATTCTCTATTTTCCCTAACAATCTAAGTAAACCTTTCCCAATATACCTCGAGGCCTTTTGTAAAGGTTGTTTGCTTTGCCTAGAATGTTCTTTGTACACACTGACTACAACTTGTAGGAATGGTACCAAGAGATAGCAATAGGTACAGCTCACTTAATTCTTACTATCAAACATTTTATTTACATTATTAGTTTCCTGTATCCCAGCTGTACAAATTAGGCAAAGACAATCGGTTATCTAGGGTAACATATCCATGGAGTGTAGGCACTGGGTTTCAAATCGAGATCTGTCTGAATTCAATTATGCTTCCAATCACTGCTACTAAGCTATTAACTTCTTTCAGGACGTCTAACACTTGTAATATCCTCTAATAGCCAGCGTGATATGGATAGAACCAAAGATACTGGTTTATAATGGCCGACGTACCTTTTATGTCCCACACCAGAGGATAAATACAGCATTAGAAAGTAGTTAACATATCTTTTCTTTTTTTTTTTTTTAACTTCAACTTGTAAGAATGGAATCATTTCTTTTCTTTGGTACTGGGGACTGAACTCACAACCTCGTGCTTGCCAAGCAGGCAATGTGCTGCTGAGCTATATCCCCAATCCTTTTTCCTGTTTTTAAAACAAAAATAAAAAAAAAAATGTTTTTTGAGATAAGATCTTGTTATGTAGCCCAGGCTAACTGTGAACTCGTGGCCCAGGATCCTCCTGCCTCACACACTGAGTGCTGGGATTACAGGCATGCACCCTCCTTTCTCAACTGAAACCAGTTAAGACTGCATCTTGCTCACTTTGGCTTCTCCAGTTCCTAGCACAACTCCTGGTACTAGTACTGGAGATTAATAAATATTGATTGAGTAATTAAACAAGTGAAAATGCTTTTAAACAGAATGGCATAACACAACACTATAGTTCTTGAATTTAGCTAAGGAACATCACCAGGCTTACCAGTTTGTGATCCTTAGGATCCACCTTTTGCAGCATGGTGGTTTTGTCTATATCCATTCGTCTGTGACCTAGAATTTCTTACTGTCAACACCACCTGTCACTTGTCTTTTGTGAAAATCTGAAAGTTAAACTGCTAGTATTTCCTTCATCGCTTTTAAAATTCTTTAAAACCTGTAGAAAAAAAATTTTAATATAGTAGAGCAAAACATCAGAGGTCGCTGAGGGAAGAATGACCTTTTAACATTTAATTTTGAATCCAGACCTGGGCTGTAGGAAGAAAAACAATCTAGCGCATCTAGAAATGAAACTTCGCCGAGACCGCTAGGCAGTGTTGTCCCAGGCGGAATACTGGTTTTCATAACAACTTACTGACGACATTTAGTGGTATAAATATCAGGGAAAACAGGTGCAGCGCTGAGCGGGGGGTCTGTCCATTCCAACATGTTCTTTGCCCAGCTACTGACAAAGAGCCAGAAGCTAAGGTAATTGGTCCTGGAGTTCTGATCACCTGCGAGGAGGAAAATGGGGGCGGGGATGAAAAAGAGAAGTGGCAGAGGCGACGCAGCATGCAAAACCGAAGCCCTGCTGGGAAGCTGCGAGCAAGCGAGCGAGCGCTCAGCCCGCTCCCAGAGGGCCGCGTACTGTCAACTTGGTCTTTTCAATGACAAAGCGACGCCTGGCTAGATCGTTAGGTCACGACAAAACAAAACAAAACAGGGCGGTATCCAGTCTCGTGAGGACTTCAGCGCCGCCAGCCTCCGGGAACGCCGCCACCTACGACCGCCCGTCCCCAGGCCGCCAGTGCGCGGATGCCCCCGGGGGCCCGGCGCCCGGCCAGGCTCCCCCTTGGCGTTCCCGCTACCCACAAGCCACCGCGGCGCGGCGCGCACGCGCAACGGCGACGGCCGGCTCAGGAAGAGGAAAATGGAATAAACAACTCGGAGGAACCAGAGCGCGAGAGAGCGAGTGGAGGCAGAATTTAAAAATAAACCGCCCCCTCCGCCCTCTCCGGCCGCTCGCCGCCGCCGCCGCTCCCTCTTCCCTAGCCCGCGCCCTCGCGATCCCCGTCTGGGCCCGCGTGCCCGCCCCGTCGTCCCGCGCGGCCCCTTTAAGAAAAGAGAAGGAGCGAGTGAGTGAGAACCCCAACTCTCCCCCTCCCCTCCCTCCCGGCCCCCTCCTTCTCCCCTCCCCTCCCCCTCTCCCCGGACGGCTCCGGCTCCCGCAGCGGGACAGACCCACCCGCCCAGGCTTTTATCTGGCTCCGGCGGCGTCTTCCTTCCCTCCCCCGTCTATGGTGGCGGCGGAAGACGAGGCCGCGGCGTTGCCATGAACAGCGGCGGCGGCCTCCCGCCCCCCTCGGCCGCCGCCTCCTCCCCGTCCCCCTCGCTGGCGGCTGCAGTGGCGGTGGTGGCCCCGCCGGGGGTCGGGGGCGTCCCCGGCGGGGCGGCGGCGGGAGTGAAGCTGAAGTACTGCCGCTACTACGCCAAGGACAAGACTTGCTTCTACGGGGAGGAGTGTCAGTTCCTGCATGAGGACCCGGCCGCCGGGGCCGCCCCGGGCCTCGGCCTCCATAGCAACAGCGTCCCTCTGGCGCTGGCCGGCGCGCCGGGGGCCGGCTTTCCGCCCGGAGCCGCGCCGGGAGGGGGTGCCGGGCCGCCCCCGGGGCCCAAGAAGCCGGAGCTGGGGGGCCCCGGGGCCGGAGCGGCGGCCGGCGGTGGAGGCGGCGGCGGAGGACTCGATGGACCGCGGCTGGCAAGTGAGTGTGGCCGGGCGGGGCGGCGGCGTGGGGCAGGCCCGGGCCGGGAAGGCCCTGGCACCTTTAGGGACCGAGCCCAGCTCGCCGGCCCCCCTCCTCACCTCCCTGGGCGGCCCGAGAGGCCTAGGCCGGGCCCGGGCCCTTCATCCTTCTTCCGGCTTCCCTCCCATTGCCCCGGGCGAGCCCGGGAGCGAGGGGAGGCTGGGTTCCCGGGAACGTGGGTGGGTGGACTGGGGCGCTGGGAGTAGGGGCGGAGGAGGGGGGATGGGCGGTGGTGTGCGGCGGGTGAGAAAGGGGGTGTCGTTTCCGGGGGGTGTGGAAAGGGGCCGGGTTTGAAGGCACATGTGTTTTGCGTGCCCGAGTGGAGTGGTGTCAGCTGTGTTGAGGTTCCCTAGTGGGAGTATGTGCGGGCAGGGGGCGGGAGGTGAGGGGCGGTCTTAAGACTTAATGGAGTGGGCTGGAAGAACGGAAAAAGTTTGTAGAAGGCTTGCAGGGTAAAGGTTTTCCAGGCAGGAAATGCTTTCTAAGGATTAGGAAGGAGAGGACCGCAGTTTTTCTAGGGTTTGCAGGTTTAATCGAGAGTTCAGAGGAGGAATTTCACAAGACCTGCGTTTCAACACAGTTTACTTAAAATCTAGAGTAAGTCAACTGCGTGTCAGTAGGGATCCTGTCTTCAGCAGTTTAGTATTCAGCAAACTGAGCGCGAGGCCTTGAATACGTTTCTTGCGCAGCTTAGGTTTGTGTGCTGAGCGCTTGAGCGAAGATATATATAAGGATATTTATCGTTTTTACTTTTCATTTGTTGTTAGTTTGCAGGACTGGGGATTGAACTCAGGGCCTGCAGCATGCTAGACAAGCGCGCTATCACTGAACAACATCCACTTACTATTATCTTACAACATTACGGTTACAACATTATGGTTAGTAAGGGATGGGATTTACTGTAAGCATACATATAACCTGTATTTTATGGATTGTTGCCCTTGAAAGGGTAGAGTAGTTGCCAGATTTCTCCCCTGCCCCTTAGTATACAGATCTTTTCTAAACAAATGGGAGTCCTGTCTTTTTGGGTTCTGAAGAGCTTTTAGATTTTAAAATAATTTGATAGTTTAAGGTGGACATCAAAACACTTTTGTCTTTTTAGAAAAATTGTAAACAAACTTGGTATGACGTTTTAGTACTTATTTGTTCTTACAAAGTATTAAGCATCTTTCTACAGATTTGTGTTTTAAAAGTTGTGTGGTTTTTGATATTATGGGCTTCATCTTAATATAGGTATATTTGGTGAGGCTGATATACCCAGAAAATTTTTATTTAAAAAAAGGTTACTTTATTGGTGGAATTTTATCACTTTTTTTCTGGACGACTGAATTATGGCTCAAATTAATTTAGCTGTAATGTTTGTTTAGTAAACATTGAAAGTGAACGGTATCTACCCATAAACAAACAAGTTTTAAAATGCTGATCTTGAGTTTAACAGGTGATCTTTCTAAAATTTTCTTGTTACTGCACAAATAAAAGAGTACAGTTGGAACATGAAAGATAAGACAGAGATAAGAAGTGAAGATGGATTGTGAAGTGAGATGGAAAAGAAATAGTAGTAATAGATGGGACCATTTCATATTTTAGAAGGATGAGGTACAGGGTCTTAACAAAGTTTTAAAATAGCGTTTTAAAATTAGTAGTGATGTATTTAAGCCTATATGGTGGTCGCTTTAACTTGGTGGGCTGCTGCTGCTGTTTTCTTTCTGGACTTCTAGGTGTATCAGTAATATTTAGGTTGCTGAAAGGGCAACTTAGGAATCAGGGAAATGAATTGGGTTGTTTATTTTTAGTGAACTTTTACTGTGTTCTGTTGTACTTTTGAGATAAAATTCACTAATTAAGTGATAAGGCAATTGAAATACACATTCTAAGTATTGCTATCAGAATAAATTCTATTCATTATCGATCTGATCTTGTAGCATCACTAAGATAATTTTATGCCCTTAAACATAATGTAGTATTCAGCAGAGAGATCATAATCAGATCTGCGCCAATAAAATAGATGTATCTGCAGAAATGTTTTCTTTTGCCTCCCTGGTATCTTGTATGTGCATATGTATATATTTGCAGACTTTTTACTGAAGTGCCTGTGTAAAATAGTGTTTTAGTTTATTTTGTGTTGTAACAGTAGCATGGACTGGGTAATTTATAAGAGAAGAAACGTGTTTCTCATCGTTTTGGAGGCTGGGAAGTCCTACGAGGAGGTGGTGGCATGTGGTGAGGACCTGTATGATGTACCATCTTATCACAGAAGAGGCAAGAGAGCAGGAGGGTGTCCCAACAAGCCTGTTTCCCCCAGTAACAATCTTAATGCATTTGTTTGCCGAGAACCCTGTGACCTAATCACTTCTTAGGTCCTCCCTCTTTAAACGTTCCTGCACTGTGAATTGTGTCTCACTCATGAACTTTAGGAAAACATTAAAACCATAACATAGAATTCGGGCTCCCAAACTGAATGTTCTTTTCACAATGCACATTATATCTATTTTACAAGTATAAATAAGTTTAGCCCCTAAAGTCTTAACCTATTGTAGCGTCAGCTCTTGAAGTCCACAGTCTTATCTAAAGCAGATATAAGTAAAACTTAAGGCATGATTTCTTTGGAGGTAAATTCTTCGCCAGCTTTGTGCTGGGGATGAAGTTAGCAAATGATGTGGTTCCAAAATACAGGAATGAAACAGACCTGGCTTAGATACTCTTATTCTAAAAGGGAGAAACAGGCAAGAAGAAGACGGTATATAGTCCTAAGTAAGTCCACAGGCCAATAGGGGAAACAAACATTAACATGTTCCTGCCTGCTTGGCTTCAGCCACCACATGCATGACTGTCCCATGTGTGGCTTGAACCACTGGTAGTTAGCCATTTAACATCAGAGGACGGAATTCAAATCAGAGCCACCCAGCAGCAAGACATGAATTATGCCCCTTCATGAACCTGTTACATCTTTAAACTGGAGAATAATCTCCATATCCGTAAAGCAGCCTGTCCCTATGGTGTTTCTGGGTTCAGGACATCCAACAATCTCTCACTTGCTTTCTTTCCTAGGCTGAAGTTGCACACTAATGGCCCCATAGTTCTATGCTATGTGGGGCTATTTTGCTAGGTATTGTCCTGGTGGTGGCTTTCTGGGGAGGGGCTGCAGATAGATCTCTCAGTCTGGGCCTTCAGGCTGTCTGAGACATTTTTGTACATGGAGACCACCATGCCCCAACAATTCTTGCATTGTGTGCCTAGATTATGTGGACACTAGATTATGTGGAACCATACCTGGGGCTGCTTAAGCTGCAGCTGCTAGGTGTGGGAGCAGAGTTCCAAGGTGATTCAGGACTATAAGCTTATGGAGGGTGCCCTGGCTCAGTTCCCAAACCTGCAACTGTGGGCCTGCCTTTGGGAGAGGCAGCCTCAAAGGTCTTTGAAACGCCTTCAGGGTCACTTTTATTGCTTTGTCTTCAGTCCTTCTGTACCGACTGGGCCTAACAAAGGCTAGGAGGCCACCTCTTCCTTTTGCACTTCTCCTTAGTCTTTTCATTCTTTCCATGTTTATGCTGTGAATTTTCCATATCATTCTGTTCTACTTCTTTTTAAATTATACATTCCATATTTAAGTTTTGCCCTCTCAGTCTTACTCTATACTGTTAAAAGTAGTTATGCAACTCCTGTTGATATTTTGTTTAGAAACTGTCTTCCACAATATATTCTAGTTTATTCTTAAGTTTCACTTCCCATAAAGTCCTCAAACATGAACACAATTCACCTAACTTCTTTGTGGCTTTGTAACAGGATGGCCTGTGCCATAGTTTGCAATACCCTTGTTCCTCATTTCCATCAAAGACCTCACCAGAATTGCCTTCTGATGAGGACCTCTTAAACTCTAACAAGTGTTGGACTTTCTGTACATTTTTCTTGAGTCTTCACCAGAGTTGCCCTTAATGCTTTGCTCACAGCAACGCAAGCTTTTTCCAGCATGCATCTCAAAACTATTCCAGCCTCTACTAGTTAGTTCTAGTGTTGTTTTCACATTTTTAGGTACCTGCAAGGTACCAGTTTTCTTGGTATGCTTTATGTGGCTATACCAAAATACTACAGGCTCAATAATTTATAAAGGAATTTACTTCTCACTGTTTTTGGAGGCTGGGAATTCTTGGTGCCAGCAGGTAGTAAAGGTCTTTGTGGTGTATCATCTCATGGCAGAAAGTGCAAGGGCCGAAGAGCATGCAGGACTTTATAGCAAGACCACTCTGGCAGTAAGTAAACTCTCACGATAAAAACATTCACCTCTTGATGAGCACAGAGCTCTACCGCCTAACCGCTTATTATGCCCTGAACCTTCCAACACTGCTTCCCTGTCGATTGTGTTTACAACACATGGATTTAAAGATTATTGCAAAACTATATAGCCCCTACCTGGGTAAAAACATCCAAGTCAGAAGTTCTTGGGACTTTAATGAGAGAACATATTACCATATAATCAGCACTCAGATCAAGCACTAGAAGATCATTAGTATCCCCCCAAGATCTGCTTTGCCCCCTCCCAGTCACTACCTTTCCCCAAAAGTAACTCAGTGATTTCTAGCATTACAGACTAGTTCTGTACTTTTTTTTTTTTTTTGCATCTTTATAACAATGGAATAGCAGACTGTGTGCTCTATTGTGGTTTTGTTTCTTTCGACTGTATTTGTGAGGTGTATTCATACTATTATGTAGGAATATTATCACACTTGAGACTATCACATTTTATTTTCTTATTTTGTTGTTGGACATTTGGGTTGTTTTTAGTTTTTGACCATTGAGAATTCTCCTGTGTGTGTTTTGGTGAGCAAGTCATGTTCTCTTGGATTATGTAGGATCGGAATTTCTGGACCACAATAGGATCTGTCTGTCTGTCTGTGTAGAATAGGGAATAGTTGGGGCTGGGGATTTAGCTCAGCGGCGTAAGTGCCTGCCTTGCAAGTTCGCAGTCATGAGTTCGATCCCTGGTACTGATTAAAAAAAAAAAGAATAGGGAATAGTTTATGCATTATAGACTTCAGGCTTAGTAAGTGATGTAAAACAACTTCCCCAGTTGACTGTAGTACATTTACACACCCGCTCCAGAAGTTAATAAGAATTTCAGTTACCCTCTACATTCTCTTTTAAATGTGGCATTATCCGCTTGAAAATTGCAATCATTCTGGTCACCAAAATTTATGGTATAATATTGTGGTTTTGTAGGTGTTGGTTTTAACTGAGTTAATAATAGCAGCAGCAAAAACAAAAATTCAAAGATTTAATAGAAAAATGCGGATTTCTGGTTTTCTTTGAAGGGCAACTATTACTAGTATTAGAGTTAGG